CTTTTTTTTTTTTTGGTTCTAATCTTTGTGGTGATTAATCTTTGATGGTAATGATTATCAATCTTTGATCTTTCCCACTTGAAATGTTTAATGTTTTAAACTAACTATAGGTAAATTAACTAACTATCTAGTAGCAACTAATGTAAAACCTATATACATCTACACTTTTTAAGCCTCCATTTTGGACTTTGCTAAAGAGATTTTGGGATCTTATGAATTAAACCACATATAATAGAGTGAACAAGAATGACGGCAATGGCATTGGCAGTTGGACATCGTACATTTTGGACAACTTGGTCAATTGTTGGTCTTTTTTGCTTTGAGTCAAAAAGGATCCCTAGTAGCCCAACCTTTAAAGTTTGAAGTTACTTAAACAATGTGCAGAATCTATTTGGAGAAGATTGAAATTCTTTCCACTAGCAAATTTATATGGTCCAATGATAACACTATAGTATGGTGTTTACGAATATACCACAAATATATAAAAGCTAAAGAAATGAAGAAAAGAGCAATATTAAGTGCTTGCTAGATCTCTAGTGAGAAATGTGTCAATAATATGTTCGTCCTCGTCCTCCCAAGGATTGTTAAGCTCGATTTTGTACTAGATCTCAGTTTTGAAATGTGATTCTTAGTCCTTTTCTTTCCTCCTTTCTTTTGCTAGTGCAAAGAGTATCGGTGTTTCTATGATCTCCCGTCTAAATTACGTTCGTGACTAATACACAAACAAATTGATATCTTCCATCGACTTAAATTAAGAGAACCACATTAGGGTTTAATACTATCCCGTCGCACAAAAAATAGTTCACATTGAGTTTTCAAATTTGTATTAAAAATAATACAAAACTCAGTGTTAACTATTTTTGTGGGACGGATGGAGTATATATTAGTTGTGAAGTGCGGGATTCGATAAGAAAAGACCCTCAAATTATTATTTTTTATTTTAATTTTGGGAAAAAAGTTGAATCATGAAATCAACTTTTTGGGCAAGTTGCGAGCCTAGTTGGATTCCTTTTACCGATTTTGTGGTTAGTAAGCGCTTTGCTGGTCTAGTTTTGATTACATATAATACTCCTTCCGTTCCAAAATAAGTGTCATTCTAGAGTTTGCACATAGTTTAAGAAAACATTAAATATGATAACTAAATTACTAGAATATCCTCAACCAACCCCATTAAAGTAAATGCTCACCAATAATATTATTTTTATTGAGGGTATGTTTGGAAATTTTTGACAAAAAATGCATTGGAATCTGAAAAGGACACTTATTTTGGAATTTCTCCATTTTGCCAAAACGACACTTATTTTGGAATGGAGGGAGTATATGTTAATTACTATAAGAAGTAGGTTACACATAATTACTTAATTAATTCCAAGTTGAGAAGTTTTAATCATTGTTTTTATATATCTTTTAATGATGATACTAACTTTTTGAGAAACCATATAAAGATTTGTGTTTAGATCGATGAGTTGAATTTTGACTATCACTAGGTCCGAAAAGAGCATAATGTACATTTTATATATGATCCGGAAAAAAAATAGTTGAAAACGATAGTCTAAATAAAATGCAGTCATCAACTTAAAGTTGCTATTATGCAACAAAGAGTTATAAATTATAATGTAAGTGTAGCTATAATATGTAGACATCCATTATGTAAAAACCCTAATTTCCTGGAATTTTTCTATTCCCACCTATTCAGACCGAATTACCGAAATGAGGATTAATCTATATATAATATGCACTCATTTAATACAAAAAAAAAACACTATTTTACGCTTAATTGTGCCATGGAAAAATGAACCATGTCGGAACCAAAGTGGCCACAAGAACAACAATAGAGTAACGACCCCCTTTTGGACCCCGTAGATTAGCAACAGCAACAACAATAGATCTAGATGTGACATGCTAAAAATAAAACCTACATTAGACCGTACCATAAGTCTCTTTGATTTGCTGTTGAATTGCCATTGGGTTGGATATAGAAGTTGCGACATCCCATCTTATTAATTTCTTTTCGACATTTTTGTAAGAAATTTATGTGCTTGGAATGCAACCTGTCTGCAACATAATCGCAAATTTCTTTCCCCTTCTCTTCAATTAAGCAATTGATGATTGATTCTTTTTCAGTCATTTGTGGCAACTAAATAGCACATGCTCGGTCTCATTCGGGCAGGACAATCGATAGTTATTTTCTGTTGCAACAAAAAGTGCCAAGCCTTTTTAACCAAACTTCATTAGAAATCAACATTAATAATGAATGAATCATTGATTTCAAAGCAAGGAGGAGATGAAACAAATCATTATCAGTTTGGTTTGCTTCGTGTTTGTAATACACATATATATCATCATTTAAACAATTGAAAATTAATAACGAAACAAAATTGGCCGAGAAAAGAATCCGGGTGTAAGTAATTAATGCTGGTTATTTCTAGATCACGGTACAATACGATTGACTATTAATTACAGTGGGACGAGGGAGTAGTAACTTTTGCTTGTAGTAATTATTTGAATTCTGAATTTGATTAGGGTTTGTTTTGGCCTTTCATCCTCCTGATTTCTTCAACAATATATGTGTTATATTTGTAGGGTGAAGATAGGACCAGAATCACACGAGCATGCCTAACTCCAAATGCACGGGTGAAGGGATGTTTGGAAACTATTCAAATGCATAATGGAAAACCACTCAAGAAGAAGTTGATTGATCCATCAAACGATTGGAGAATAGACTCGAATCGATCGTATAAATCCATAAACCTTAGGCAATTCAGTTGACAAAAAACTAATCTTTATAAAAATATTTAACCAATAAGTGAATTTGTAACGTAAATTGTGATGCAATGTGACATATATGAATTAATTTGATACTATGAACCAAGATGTATAATTGTTAGAGTCCGTTTGGGTCGAATGATGAAAATGATGATTAATCTGATGTAGCGTGTGTTTAATTATGACATCATATACTTACGGAAACAAATCATGAATTCAAGGAATTGCTAATAGTGCTAATTATTATATTTTCTAGATAAATTAATTACTTACACCATGAACAGAAAAAGAGAAAAAAAAAAAAAACAAAACAAAACAAAAGGTTTGGCCGGTCCCAAGATCTTGGCTCCTCTCTATAACATAGGCGATTCAAGTAAGCATAAGATCTGGAAGGGATTTTTGCAATGCTTAAAATATAAAGTTGAGGGAGACATAGACCTAAACACGAGCTCACTTACCACCATTTATAGATACTTTCCATCATTAAGATGGAAAAAGGGAATGGCCTAATTGCAATAAAGAAATGGAACCCTTTTTCGCAGTTCTCTTGTGGTCCTATTTGACATTATCCAGAATTAATTCTTGATCAACCCTACATTCCTATTCATAATCAGCAAATGATTCCCTCCTGCCTAACACACACATATATTATTACACTTGTTATAGTAATTTTCTTCGTTCTTCTTATGTTTCAAACATTCATGGACGTATAACTTAGTTTTAAATAGTATCGGCTGAATACAACACAAAAAGTCTAACATGGATTCATCCATTGGAAATTATAGCCATGGTTACTCAGTTGTCTATGATTTTCTATAGGCATGCTCATGAAATATTTTAATTATCTTGACCTAGGATTTGCAAGTACAAATATGTCAAAACTTGGGGAAAGATCACTCGTGCCATCGTTGCAAATAATTTTGATATGTCCCAAAAAAATATCAAACTATTTGAGAAAATATGTTGAGACAGAACATTCTAAGAAAGGTAGGAGCAACGATAATAGGTTGATGCAAAGTAAGTTGTACTAATGTGTATATATCTCTTGTTCACTTCGATTGCCAAAAAGAAAGGGTTTCTGTTGCCCATCATTTCTATATTCCAAAATATCTCTCAAATTCTTGTAGTACATGATACTCGCATCGATAAAACTTACTTGTGTTAGAACGAGATATTCATAATTTTAGTAAAGAGATGACGAGTTAGATTTTTACATATTACAAATATGCTTGAGTTTTAGTGTTTTCGTAGGTTCTCTAAACCAAATACTACATCAGATAAAAAGTACCAAAGACAGTACCCTTCATAGTGAAGTGGCAGCATCACTTTCCAACAACACAACCTGTGAAGTCACCATCACTTAAGTGCATAGCTTCTACTTTCTCATTGGTTGGGAAAGCGTTAATTTTGCTTCTTAAAGTGTAATATTAACTACTTAAACCTCCTATGTTGTACAATTACTTTCCTAAATTAAACTCATCACATCCCATTACCTAATCAAATGATCTGCATAGCTAAAAGTAGCTTAACAACCAAACTCGAGGAGAGCAGGAGCAGAAGCATAAGACGTAGACAACTAATTAAGTTATGAAAGAAAAAAAAAAGTATTAAAAGATTTTCGGGTTCTTGTTACATCACAAATATCTTTTAAAATTTTCAGAAATTTTCTTTCCCGAACCAGCACTTTTTTTGCACTCAACTAATTACCATCTAACAATCCCGCTCCGACAACGAAACGATGGTTAATTACAGTGATTATCTTCAATTCATCTAGATCAAATCAATGAAAAAAATTAAAACCTATTTAATATTCACTAAATACCCAACTTAATACAGAAATTAGTCATTGTTGTTGAGAATAGACACTTTGTGATACTTAAAAATAAATAAATAAATAACCTAAAATGAGCAACAGAGTAAAACTCTTATATTGACAATGAAATTAAAGTATGATTTGTCAATTAGGACAGATTAGGGCACTAGAAAAGAAAAGTTCCTTCATGTGAGAAGATAAAAAAGCAATAGATTTAGGTATTATTGCAATTAAGCTGGATTCCTCGGAAGTGAAAGAGGGATGCTGTTCTATTAAAAATGGCAAAATGACAAGCTACCTTAGTATGTGGGAGCCCTCTTTTTTTTTTTCTTTTTTCCTTTAAAAAAATCATACCAATGCAGAAATATCACAAATTTTGTCCTCTAGATTGTGAAGTTTCACTGGCAACTCAAAAGTGAACATCCGCTCGTTGCATTATAAAAACCCCTAGATATCTCTTCTTTCCAGTTGAACCTCAATTATTCAATAAAGGAGAGAGTAATTTTGGTGGTAAATCAGAAACTTGCTCTTTATTCAATACACAATGTATTTTGTGTTCGAAATTTAAAATTTTGACGTGACAATTATTTTCTCCTTTTTTTGATCCATTTCTACTATCTTGAGTTAAGATCCATCACTCATTTCAGTAGTCACCACTTCACTCCCCAAAAAAAAAACATTAAAAGAAAAATATATTTCTATTTTTTTTTTTGTGTATATTAAAATTTAAAAGTGTCTCTATGTAAGCCAACATGTATATATGTTGCATGGTGGAAGAACAAAACTTGCTATAACCTAGCATCCAGTCCTCTTCCTTGATTCTCCATCTTTTTGAGTGCTGCAAAATTTACCAAACAAAAAAACAAGCAAAGGCAAAGGCAAAGGAGCAGAGTAGTACACAAAAGGGAAAAAAAAAAAAAAAAAAGATGGAGTTATGCGTGGAAACCAAAAAGTGGGCAACAATGGCAGAGGTACAAAAAAAAAAAAACTTTACTTTTTCAACTTCATTTTCCATAGATGTCAAATCAATGCCAAAAAAAATTGATCTTCATGATGACCCTTTTCTTCTCTGTTTCTCTTCTGATCAGGTAATTGAAGAATTGAAGAAGCTGATGGGCATAAGTTTTCCGATCATGGCCATCGGCTTAGTAATCTACCTTAAAAACATGCTTTCGGTAATGTGCATGGGAAGGCTAGGGAGCTTGGAGCTTGCTGGTGGAGCATTAGCAATTGGCTTCACTAACATCACTGGTTACTCTGTTTTATCAGGTTTGGCAATGGGAATGGAGCCTTTATGTAGCCAAGCTTTCGGGTCGAAAAACATGGGAATTCCAACTCTAATTCTCAGAAGAACAATCCTAATGCTGCTTCTTGCATCTTTCCCAATTGGGTTGTTATGGATCCATCTGAAACCTATGATGTTATGCCTTCACCAGGATCCAAAAGTAGTTGAAATTGCCAGCCTTTATTGCCAATTTGCAATTCCTGATCTTATTGCAAACAGCTTGCTTCATCCAATACGTATTTATCTACGTAGTAAAGGTACAACATGGCCATTATTATGGTGCTTTTCACTTGCTTCACTTCTTCACTTACCAATCACTATCTTTTTAACCTTTCACCTTCAATTGGGCATTCCAGGAATTGCGATCTCCACATTTTTATCCAATTTTAACACCTTATTCTTTTTAATAATTTACCTACTCTATTCCGAAGGCACCGAAAACTCAAGTGAAATTCAACCCTTGTCTAAACCCTTAGCTCCAAAAACATCAAATTCTTCAACCTCTTCATTAGGTGAAGATTGGGGGGTGTTACTTAGATTGTCTATACCAAGTTGCTTGGCAGTATGTTTGGAATGGTGGTGGTATGAAATAATGACAATTTTAGCTGGCTACCTACAAAATCCCCATATTGCCCTTGCAACATCAGCTATAGTTATACAAACAACTTCTCTAATGTACACATTGCCTTCAGCATTGAGTGCATCAATTTCAGCTAGAGTTGGAAATGAGATTGGAGCAGGAAGACCGTATAAGGCCCGATTGGCGACATTTGTCGCAATCGGATTGGCGTTTTTTATCTCCATTTTTGGCTTATTGTTGACTACAATTGGGAGAGAAATATGGGGGAAAATCTTCACTCAGGACAGAGAAGTCCTAGAGTTGACTTTGGCTGTCTTACCTATAATTGGGCTTTGTGAGATTGCAAACTGTCCACAAACAACGTGTTGTGGGGTGCTTAGAGGGACGGCCCGACCCAGTACCGCTGCATGCATCAACTTCTATTCTTTTTACTTGATGGGTACACCAGTGGCAATTGGACTGGCTTTTGTTTTGGGACAAGGATTTTTGGGTCTTTGCTATGGGCTTTTGGCAGCTCAGGTGGCCTGCATGGTGTCCATCTTGATAGTGATAAGCAAGACAGATTGGGAAAGGGAGTCACTAAAAGCAAAAGACTTGGTTGGAGAAAGTTGCAATTTGTTGTATGAGGAAGATATTGTCAAATGTGAGGAAGGAAAGGGAACCACTCTCAAAGATAGTTGCTTTTAGACTCTAATGGGAATCAAAAGATGGCACTAACAGGGTAGAAAGAGTTTATCAGTCTCTTAGTTTTGCAACTTTGTAAAATAAGCATTAGTTTATCAATTTTTAACGGATTTAACCAACTTATGGTTAAAACAAAACGGTAGCCAAAATAGTATAGAGTCGTGATCTTGAAATCTCCAAAAAGACGTTGACTCCATATTGGTCTATTTTAAAAGGAACTGTCTCACCGGTCAACATAAAACAAGATCGCGGACTAATTTTGAGTGTTAAATCACAGTTGATAGACTATTTTAGACAATTTTCCTTGTCTCGGTTGAGGTACTTCTCCCATTTGCAACCTTGATTTTTTTTATTTATTTATTTATTTATTTTGTTTGGGGGTTGGAAATGAAGCACGACTATGATAAAATGAATGTGCAAATAGTTAGCTTGTAGTCGTACATTCATCAGATCAAACGCACTCAGTGGCGTGGATTTGTATTTGATGTGGGTTCCAACTTCCAAAGCACAATTCGTTGTTTTCGCGGTTTCGCCTCCTCATTATAGCCCCCATACATGAACTATTCTATCCTCTAAAAGAAAATAGTCGAAATTGTAATTTATATATTGTACTGTGCTTAATATAATTTATATGTAAACTAATTTCATGAGATAAAAGAAGCAGAACATTTTAACAATCAACGTTGATCTCTCAATACAATTAGTTACGGATTTTATTCTGGTTCAAAGTTGAGTTTTACCATAAATCTTTCCGAAAATTGAAGCCAAACGTTTCTTGATCATTTTATTGATTACTCCAACTCTCTCACTCATTCCATAGAAACAGTAAATGTGAAGCATGTGATGGAAAACAGGAAATAAAGAACACAAGCCTAACTTAAGTATGCCAAATTGTTTATTTATATTTTTGTGTATCAAAAGAGAAGTACAGTCAGGAACAATAACTAACTATTATTGTTTATTTATATTTTTTGCTAACGTGAAAGGAGGCTCAAGCCTAAAACTTTACATTTTAGGGACATGTAATTCCGTCAAATCATGCTCCAACCACAGTTTGTCTCCATTGACCCTTATCAATCACGCTTTAATAATAGTAACTAAATGTTGAGGTTACTCGTGCTCAAAAAAATATTGTTACAGGACTTCACAGAAAAAAATTTGGGCCATCAGTGATAAGTCTTATAATAAGTGTTTGTCTTCGGCCCATATCCAAAGAAAGATCCAAAACGCTAATCAATCTTCAGTTCTTCAATGAGTATGGCCGGTCTCATGAAGTGCGTAGATGTTAAGAAAATGGAGGTGGAGACAAAATGGTGGGACCAATGAAAGTAAAAAGAGGAGAGTCCATTTTGATTACTTTTCATATAACCAAATCAAAGAGAAATTTGGGCCCTTCCAACTCACCGGATGTCTTATCACTTATCAGTGAAAAGTCATTTTTTCGTAGAGAACAAAAATGTTAAAGGATTCTCAAAACTCAAAAGGGCTTGCAAAAGTTACCGTTGGTGAAAATCTGTTGATACATTAATCTTGAGCTCCAGTATGGGGAAATTTTTGCATCTTTGTCCTTCATAAAAATTATAAAAAGGGTTCATTTCAACCCAGTTAAATGTGGATTGATTGAAAGGTAAAAAACTCATAATATTTGGTCCTTGTTCATACTTCCATAATATGTTAGGGAAAAAAAAATTGTTTGATCGGTATCAAAATACAGTTTGAAAGGGGATAATTTTTTTTTTTTAAAAAAAAAAATAACTTAACTAAGAAAAGTATCTTTTTACCCTAGGTTAAAAGATGCATCTTATGGTTCATTACCACACATCCCATCAGATCAACAAGACAAGATTTAACCTATATTTTGATGTTCTCCACCACGAAGACAAGATTGTTCAAGTGTGGTCTTTTGAGTTCAATGGCAACTTTTAGGCCCCAGTTCTAAGGGGAATCTAATCATACATACATTAAAAAAATAAAAATAAAAAATCAGGACATTATCAAATCAACACGATTAAACTGCATGTTCTTTTTCTTTTCTTCTATGTTTCGGATCTCACAAAACTCTCTTGACTGATAGAGTATAAGAGCAAGAAAAAACAAAATTTAAACATAATTGGAAACAATATAATCCAAAATAAAAACAAAATGAACAACTTGCTAACCTGATCTTACATCTTCTTTATGTAAAACTTTTTCAAAAAATACAATTTTAAATATGGGACCAAACGGAATATGATAAAGGGGGTCGGGCTATATCTAGGTAGTTGATTAATTTGAGAAAAAGACCATATACGTAAAAGTTCAATTATTTTCTTTTCTAGGGGCTTAACTAGGCTAAATATGTTCACTGGAAAAAAAAATATTCATCGTGGGTTGATATGCCAACAGAATAATTATTTTGGGACGAGAAAATAATTGCAAACTGAAAAACATCTTTAAATATATACAAAGGGTTTCTAGTTCTCCACCGAGCGAAAAAGGCTTTTTTTTTTTTCTCCCATAGAATGGATCAATTCATGATAATGTAATAAAGAAACCAAAGCAGATACGTACTCTTTTTCTTCTAGCTTGAACCTTAATATATCTCCTCAATTAAAGTTACAAATCATTTTGAGATGTAGACTAGAAAAATATAAATTACACCACTTTCTTATCCATACACTATAATATGCTTGATTACGCATATATGATCTAATTGCAGTCGATCAATTTGTTAAACTTATATTACAAACATATGCAAATCTTGACCAAAAAAATAGAATAGTTCATTTTGTTTTTCAACATAAAAAAGATTGTATTGGGCAAATTCCACACACATATATATAAGAACTAAGTCTCAGTCTAGTTATTAGGACGGTGTGTTTTCTGGTATTAGACCCAGATTTAATCTCCACCAAAAATATGGAAGGAAGATTTTTACCCACATTCCACATGTCGATCATTGATTTTTCGAGAACAAGGTCAACCTACTGATTACATATCCGAAGAATCTGGAGTGAAACCCCTATGAACCGTGAAGACTGGAGCAATGGTCATATTGAACAAATTAAAAAGACATCAACGACGAGTCGATTTTCAATTAGAAGAAGACCCACCATTGCCGAAAACTCTTCTTTTCTCCTTTCAGTTAAAGAGGAAGTAACTCGCTGAAATTCGTACACTTGCAATTAAGGATACCATGGTTTTTATCACTTGCATTTAGTGATAAAATATCAACTAATAAATGCATATGCGCCTTCAACCATAAAATGGTGCTGCTTTTAATCCCAAAGCTTATCACAGAACTTCTACATACATTAACTAGGGTTTTGTCTTTACCTCTTTTCCTTCCCTTAATTGGTTGTCTGTTTCTCATAAGCATGTGTTACTGACTCTGTTCCGAAATTATCGTCCAGTTTGAATTTTAAATTTTAGTACAAATATAACTTAAATTTGAACCGATGTTGATTGTGATTGAAAACTACAAACACATACGATCAAAAAGACTGGCTCTAGTTAAAATAATTCATGTCCTAAAAATTACTACTAAGTAACCTATATACTAATGGTAGTATTCACATCAAATAACAAAAAAGCAGCAGTACTGAAACTTATTTATCATTTATGGGTGCTACCACCAGTTCATAGGCTAGAAAGTAGAAACATTGCTTTTCTGAATTTCTTCAGTAATAATATCCCTAACTGCTGGGAATTAAATAAAAAAATTACTGCGTAGTGGTCGTACGTTATAATTTATGTTCATGTCAGGTGACAGAATAATTCTTTTATATGTACATAAGGTATTATTATTATTGTTATTATTATTATTTAGACCCTTTTTTTTTTCGTTTTCGAAAGAGCTAAGAGGATAGCAAAGACTTGTCCCCATCCAACAATGAAGTGTGTAAAATAACAATAAAATCTGGAAGATTACTTGTGATGATAAGCTAGCTTAACTAGAAGCCAAAAGAAAAGTAATTTACTCACGATGGTGAAAGATTAACTGATGATTAAGCTTGTCAATTAATTAAGTGGAATTCCACAAGTTTTATCTCTTTGTTGGAAAACAATGATTATTTTGCCCTTCTCTTCTAATTTTCAATCGCGCCTACTTTCCAGCATTACAAAAAATCTAAATTATTATTTTGTGCTCACAGATTATTATGCCTCTGCTTTGGCTTCCGCACATAGATTTATCTTCCCTTCTTACGTTCATGATGAAACATAATTTACATAACGAAAAAAAAGACGGTGAAAGATATATAGTGAAAATGCATAGTGACTAATGTGCACATAATATTTTGGAGGAAAAAATGTAAATTTTGAGGGAAAGATAAAGGTTCAACGACAAAATGACAACAATATAGAGATATACATCGGTCACTATTTTTTTTATTATATATTTTCACTACACATCATTTTTCATAAAAAAAATACAATAATTGCATGGGGAAGGATAAATTTTTATTTTCATTTTATATGTAATTATGAATCGGCTTAGGAGAACCATTCTAATTACCGTAAGATTCTAATACGATGAGGGTGAATAATTACTTTCAAAGATTTTCCAGAATTTGTTATGCATATACTCGAACACGAAATCTGTTAACAGAAACAAGGTACTTGAGACAATCACATTTTTGTTTTTTTTCTCCATAGGAAGAACTGAGTCAGGCTTAATTAAGGTTGGCTAAATGCAACTATTATCATCAAGTAAGATGGTTAGTCAATTTAACTAATGGATTGCTTTTCCCCCTTCTTTTGTTTTGTTTTGTTTTTTTTTTTTTTTGCTTTTTTGTCTTGTTCGATCTCATAGTTAATCCTCATCGACAACATTAAGCTTTACTTGTACTTAAAGTTTTTCACTGGTTCGTCGTGAATCGCTACATAATTTTTGTCATGACATTATAAAAATAGTATACTCTTACAATATGTTAATGTAATTTCTTCGGCTTCATGATTCCTTTTGAAACAAAAAAAGACAATTCTCAAAAATAAACTAATTTCAGTGATGGATCAAACAAACAAAAACTCCAACAGTTCACGTAAGGTAGTTACGTAGCAATGAGACGTATATGATCAGCTAGTGCTACACAAAAGAATCGTCCGAATAGAGGCGTGGAATTGATATTGTGGTTAATAATGCGCAGTCGCGAAACTAGCTACTCAAATTTGGAGCTAATCATGTATTCATGATCGAAATAAGTGGTCGAAAATATATGACAGGAGATTAAAAATGACTAATCCTAAAGGGTTTTTTGGCAAGTCGAGGATTCCGAGCCCTTTTAAGCGATCTGTCCCTGATAATGCGATTTGTTAGATATATATTTCTTCTGTCAAATATATATATATATATATAT